GGTGTTCACCTCCTCCTATTTATAGAAGAAGAAAATAGGAATTCTTATTCTACTATGTTGTCCAGTGTCTTGTAAAGACACCGGTCAGAGAAACTTCAGGAATCAACAGGAACTCGACCACGTCTAACAAATTGAGCAGTGAATGGGACAAGGTTACATACGTGACTCTTGCACATAGGGTTCCTTCAAGTCGGTTACAGACTCATTTACACTACACAGGACTTAAGCGAGGTTTTTAGGTTATCGTGTTTTTGTCAGGTAGTCGTTTGTCCCGAGATAGTCTCTTAATACCGTATATAAGATTGACACATTACTTCGTCTTTCTCCCCGTTCATAAGAAATGAAGTTTTGTAGCCATGGGTGAAATTGTTTATTCTGATTGGAAATACTTATGCGTTCAAACAATAAGGTAAATAATTAATTCACACTTTGAAATATTTAGTAATTTATTCGAAAATGATTCTGTGACTCTATTTGGTCCCGTTGTCACTCGGAGACAACGGTCAATCACTCGAGGTGAAGTAAAGTTTGGAAATAAATTAGTCTAAACCAGGGTAACTTAGTATCTAGAGAAAAAGTTCCCTCTGGACGTCGTATTATCCAGGTGTACTTTGTATTGTTATTTCTCGTAGTATGTAATATAAATGTCCTAGTATAATGTATCAATATCTGTAAATGTTCCGGGTACATAGTTGTTCGTAAATTAAAGCGATCGAAATTTTTTGTACGTCTCCTTACTCTAACGAGGTAAGTCAAAAGTTAAGAACGACTTCTAACAAGGTTCGTTCACCTCCGACGCGTGTATTTCGACGAATGGAATTCCGTCAGGAACGAAAACCGTGTACATTGTTTATGATGTAGTACGCTAGAGGTCTCGTTATCTCGACTAACGTTTGAGAGACACAATTAGTCCCTTGTCTACTTATGCCCTTCAAAATGGGTTGTTTCGAAATTATTTATTTTGGCACATGGTACTGAATCCGGGAGAAATGTCATTCACTACCGTTTGGACGGAACCATATGGTCACAATGTTCACTACACACATTAACGGCCCGGCCGGGCATCGTGACCGGCAAATATCTCACAAGCGGGCATCCCGCGGCTAGGACCCCCTCCGCGACGCGGACCATCTTTTTGTAAAAAACTTGCACCACGGTTAGGATTAAAAGCCGGAACCTACATTGTTTGTAAGTTATTAATCATTTACAATTGGTGGGAAAAAACTGGGGCCAATGTGAAAAGTAAACGGGACGTGCTACCGGCAGACAATTCACTTCCTTTTACCCCCTACAAACTCGAATAGACCGCGGCGTCGAGGTGTCGGTTTCACGCTCACTCGAAACCCTCGCTTACTCCCTCTTCTCCTTTCCCACGGGTGGCCATTGGCCGCGACAAATAATAACCTTAGACCAACGACGACGAAGTTGCCTATAATTTTCCTTCTTGCAAAAGATGGTTTTAATTACACCTCCTCTCCAGGGAGAGGTCAGTTCTGACTTCTCCGACTTATTGAATTGGTCGAGTCACTCCATTTCCTGAGAACCACCAAACTAATCAAGTCGAAATCAGGATTCACATAGAGTCACCCAAGAGTTGCCCTCAGACCAGTTGTAAAATTTACATTTGTTTTGTTTAATAGGTTTCCGTGAGGAAAATATAATTAACCCTATTTGTCCAAAACTTTAATAAAGTCTCAACATATGGGGATATCCTGTCATTTGGTTTTTATTTAACAAAAAATTGACCTTCTATTTTTTTTTTACGTTCTTATTTGAATGGTTACAAAATTATCCAAGGTTTATTAACTTAACTTGTGTTTTTATTTAATTCAAAATTTTATAAAACAAATAACCGATACCATCCATAACCAAAATACAAAGTATGAATTTAAAACCTTAATTATTTTAACATTTGGTTTAAAGTATACCCCACCGAAATTCAAAAACATGGATCTAGTCATTCAATAAGAACGATTTCAACCGTTGGTCTAATTCCGTTAAAAAATTGAAAATTTTCCAATTTGTACAAAGGGTACCGGGGTAAGGGTGACTAGTTATTAGGTAACAAACTTCCATTTATGATTTATCTTTATGAACACGTTTAAAGGGTTTGGTGTAACCAAAAAAAAAAGTAATAAGTTCTCGGACGTGTTGCTGTCTTTTTAGTGTTTCCCCGAAACGGACGCGTTGACACAGGGAGACAAGCATGGAGACAAGCATCATGTCAGAAGGTACAGAGATAAAATGAAAACATAGGCACAACATTTTGACATTGTTTGTTAAAGTAATTTACTCAAAAATAGAAATGTTGACATTGGCGAGTAGCTTAAGTTTGTCATCATTTATTGCCATTCCTCAAACAATTAGAACATGCTGTCCGCAAGTCCTAAATTTGGGATTTGACCCTCGTGATGAGGAATGCAGTGAAAGCAATGCATCAGCTGAAAGTCTCCTGTAGGTCAGACTATCTCGTCAGCTGTAACTGTGAAGCTGCTGGTTAAGTTGCACACGCGGCATAGCTGAGGAGTTTGGGCATGGCGAGAGAGACATCTGGACATATCTCCTCCCCAGCCCCCCCGGCTCTTCTAATCCAGCTCTCCATTTGCTACTAAATGCCCTTGGTACATTGTTACTAGATAAACAGACACTGGACACACTAGTAACAGCATCCAATCTGATTACCTCAGTCATTCTGAGGCTCTCCTGAGGACACTGCTCACTTATAGACTCACACTACGTATCTGCTTCAAACACTCAGCTGACAAATCTATGCATTACAGAAAGAACCTATATAAAGAAATGATGTATTCACGGACACAAACATAATCTTTATAATAAACCTCTATACCAGTTTTTGCTTTACTGATACATCTTTACAAACTATAAATAGTATACTTGGATGTTGGACTGTCCCTTCATTGTTTTCTTTTAAGAAGGCAGACATGGAATGACGAATCACTTTTGTAGCTCTTTTTCCCCTATCCCTTTCCATACATCTCTCACATGACAAATGATTTGGTCACACTGTACTGTCAGTGAACTGTAGCTTGAACTTTGACCATTTTCTGGAGTTACAAGAGTGCATGAAAAGATGAGGGAATAGCTAAAACAAATATTTAAATATAGCACTCAAATAATGACTTAGTGGTAAACGATATCTGCATATCTGTTTTTAGGAGGACAATAAAACATGAACATAATTACTAGTAGTTGACAACAATAGCAATTGTTTGACAACCAAAGAATGTAATGGATGAATGGTTTAAACATACATTTGTGTCAAAGTAAAACAACTGTCACACTTTGTGCAGGTAACACACTTCTAGAACATGTAGTGCAGACTCCTTCAGTACACTCTTTGAAAAATAATTGGATAAATGAAAAGGCCATGAAAGGATATTTTGTATAACTATAAAGCTGAAAGGTAATTATTATTGTACACGTTTTTATATTTGTGTAATACGCTGTTACTCGGTAGTAGTTGGGGAAGAATGGTGAGCAGGATCTATATAATGTACCAGGGACGTGCACAGGTACGGGCTAATGTTGCCCGGGCTAATGTTGCTCGGGGTAATGTTGCCCGGGCAACAGCCCGTTAGCTATTTTTGTCTGACCTGCCCCTCTGGAGAGAGCGAGAGTTTTTTTTGTTTTCTATGGTGGCCGAATCAACATGATAAGCCCACAATTAGTTTTGTAGCGTCTCGCTGCGGGAAACACACCTTGTCAGCGCTGTCATCTGCCCCCAGTCACGTGACTTTGTTTACAATCTGACAGCTGGAAGCAAAGGAAAGCCCTCCGGCCTCATATGGCTATGGTGATCACACCAAATGCCTGCCTGGCGTTAGAGTATAGGGGACAAACCAGGGGACTTTACTTCCTCTTGATACCGTCGGTTATTTACAAAAAAAAACACCTAAATATACTTGTTATTGTTTTTCTGTCTTTCTGTGTCTTTTACTCTGCTCCGTAAATTCCCTCGACGGGTACCGCTCGCTCTCTTTTCTTCATCGCCCTCTCACATACGGGAGAACACTTCACTGTCCCGCTTCATTTTAGGATTTCTGCCATGTCTCTACCACTTTAGTTTGACCATCTCTGTTATTAAGTTATGGAATACTAAATAAATAATAGTAATTAGATACCTTACCGTTACTGCGCTCATAAAGAATGATAAGAATAAGAATAATGCGTATTGAACTGGTTTCATTAATTAGTGATTTTATTTAAGGTAATTAGTTAGAAGCCCTATTTTATCAGTATGTCTGCACAGCAGTTACAATGGTCAAACTACATTAAAACAGGATTGTCCCCATTTTTTCTTTAATAGTTACTAACATTATATTTTAATGAGATATGGACTGCAAAACTAAAAAAGTGCCTGAATAACAAATTTAGCAGTGGACCTAAAAGTCAACTGAGTGTCAATTGCAATGACAGTGTTGTGTTTTTCTTTTATTAACCTTTTACATTAAAAACGAGTTAGAATTTTCAAAAGTTCTTTTTTCGGGGTGGGGGGGAGGTCCTTTTTCCAGTTTAGAGCAATAGCCCCTCCAAATGTATGTGCACATTCCTGTAATGTACCAGAACATTATTGATAAATGTCAACAAATGACATGTAAATTACATCCAAGCCATCCAATTTATCTAAGGGATATGATTAAGGGTTCTTGTGCCCATCTGTGTGTGTGTGTGTGTGTGTGTGTGTGTGTGTGTGTGTGTGTGTGTGTGTGTGTGTGTGTGTGTGTGTGTGTGTGTGTGTGTGTGTGTGTGTGTGTGTGTGTGTGTGTGTGTTGGACATAATGCAATGGAAATAAATGCTGTAGATAACAAAACAAACTGTTAAAATATAAAGAAAACAATGTTAAGTGCAGAAGATCGACAATACAAAAGACAAATACAGACTCACCCTCGCCCCATCAGGCCCAGTTTGACATTCTTCCCCAGCAGGTAGCAGAAGAAGGGCAGAGCGTGGTACAGCTCCATCTGTTTGTAGTTGAGAGCCAGGCAAAAAGCCACGGAGCCCAAAGCATCCCAGCCCAGACCCAGAGCCAGAACCCCCCACAGGGCAAAACCCAGACTCACTCCATTGTACCTGATTCGGTTAACGATTATATTCTGCTAAAAATGTCTTCAATTCTATTTTTCACGTACTTAACAATATTTAAACCCTCACTATTGTATGTGCTTTAAAGGATACAAGACAATATAACTTATATAATATACATTTTTTAATGTAATCTATTAGGATTAGGACCAAAGTCAGTGAAATACTGACCTTAAGAGATGGTAACAGGCAAATTACAATAATGATATCAGAGTAAATAAATAATAGAAATGCACTTGTACATAAAGGATACTGGAAATGGCCATAGTCAACAAGAATGAGGCCAGGGTATAAAAGGAAGCAGAGCAGAGTGGAAACCTGGAGAAAAGGAGCATTTATTAGTTGTTGAAGGGTAAAACATAACTAAAAATGAACTATAGTCGACTGGTCATTATTATACAATGAGGCATTCAATGTCATTTGAATCACATTACATTCATTTGCAAACTTTGTTGTGTGAAAGAGACGTCTAAACAAATTGATCGTTTTTTCTTCTCAGTATTTGCTTATTCATTCTTAGAATCCTAAGGTAATAATAGCCTGTCCCATGTTGCGCTGTACAAATTGCAATGTATGCTGGGAATTGTTCTAGTGTTGATCCTGTAATGTTTGCTTCATTAAGATATATTACAAAACATCCACTTTAATGGACTTGTACTGGAAATGCATTTATACATTCATAACTTCCTGGAAAATATAATGGCATAATTTATATTGCAATAATAACTTCCTCATGCCACAATATTTCACTGTAGCCAAAAAGGTGGCTTATTTTCATCTTTAGTTGAAAAAATGATTAGATTTCATCTCATACCGGGCAAGTGTGTTACCTTTTTCTTAGAGGATCCCTCAGTCAGATACAAACAGTATAAAACCACAGCAGGGATGTATATCAACAAATCTGCCACCAGAACTGAAACAGAACATAGAACCGTATTATTTTATAAATCTTCCTTGTAATTAAATAAACTGCTATTTTAAGGTTAAGGTCAATATGGATCAATGAAGCATTTTACTTTATTTTTCTGGTAGTTACTGTACCTGTAGCTCTCATGAACAACTTGTGCGCTGGACTTTCATAACCTCTGGATTTGTGAAGCTCCACCCACTCAGGGTTTATCGTCTTAGCTCTGCAGGAACATATATTTATAGTATAGAAATGAAGGTATTTATAATGCTTAAATGACAGGCTGGCTTTAGAGTTACCCATGGGTACATAGAATGGACAAGTAAGTAGAACATTTGTGGCATTTTATAACTGACAAAACATGGAATATCCAAATGTGTTCATGAATAAACATTGTAAAAATGTAAGCAGAGATGTCATGTAAACTCTCAAATAAAAACATACTTACACAAAAGCACAGATCAGGCTGTGGTAGGCAGTCAGAGGAGGGTAGTCAAGACCCCAGTAGTTCAAGTCATTCTTAGTGGTGTTGAAGTACCTGGATAAGTAAACATTTCAGATATATTTATTCTGACAATGTGGAAGTGTCTGATGTTGCAGACAGTCTAATAGCATAATAACAACCCCCTAGTGGCTTATTTGTATTGATATGTCTCTCTATTTTTTGTATGTGTTTTGGTAATCATTCACTTATAGTAATAATTCAGAATCTAAAATCTGTTTTTGGTGTTATATCCAATGTTAAATAGTATTCAAAATGGCATTATCCACAAGTATAAGATAGACATCTGAATTGCTTATAGATATAGATATTATATCCTAAGTTGCAGCCATATAATACGGGCATTTTCAGCTTTAATTTGTTCACTTTTCTGGTTATCCTCTGGATTTTTATTCATCCCATACTACTGCTATTGTGGGTATGTGACTCACAGAATCTGCTCCCATCATTTAATAAACATTAGTGTTTTAAGTGCGATCACTACAATATGTCCAATCCCTGTCAAAACCCCAAAGATGTTCAGCTGCCTGAACATTGTTGGCGTTCTCAAACTTGCTCCACTGAGTAAACAAACGTCAGACTGACCATTCCTGCACAGGGAGGTTGTATGTCACTTCTTGCCAGTGCCTTTGAGCCTCGTAGTCGCCAAACATGGGAGTTTTCCCCGCCCCTGGAGGAGAAAAAGCTTTTAGTCTGATGAATGGGAACCCGACTTACATCACGAACTGACAGCATTTAACCACACACAGCCAAAAGCACCACCCTGATATGTGTAAAGAAAACGCAATATCCACTCAAATAATCAGCTGTGTAGCATTGAGCACTCAGTTGTGCAGCATGTAAACGGTAAACTTCACATTTCCTACCTGAATATGAGTTTAACGAAACGCCCCATCTTGCAGCAAGACCGAGCAACACACAAAGTGATACGAGACTCCACGTTTGCATAACCTCGTCCGTTTAAATTATCTTAAATAGGAGAAATAAAAGCTAAAATATCTGTCTGCTTTTGGAATATGTCTACATTTCCTGTATACGTCATCAATCAAGACTTCATTGCAAGTTCTCATTGGGCACTGCCGGGTGACGTAGCTCTGAAAGACGTGAGGCGTTCAGGAACCCCCAGAAAAAGACGATATTATCGTCATTCGAAACATCGCTTCATAACTTAAGCTAGAGTAACTTTATTAAACGAGTTTTAATTGTAGCTATGGCAGATAGATAGGTAGTTTTACTTTATCTTAAAAATATGGTTACATCACTAGTGACTGAATCGGTATTGCTACCAATTTGATTTGAAGATGCCAAATTCCTAGTAATGTGAATGCCAAATCGGTTTAGGTGAGATTTATGATGGATTGATTGATATTGTGCATTATTAAAGGTCTATTTGTCCACTCTTAACTCAATAATAACTTATACCCTGTGTTAAACTTAGAGGTCGGAATTTGAATAAGTGTCTTTTATCGAGCAGTACATAAGCATTTCCAATAATGTAATTACCAAGTAAGCAAATAACATAAAACAGGCTGTGGAACAAAATGTATAAATTATTTAATGACAATCGATTTCCCCTTTTTTCCAATCACTGATAGTACATCTCAAAATAATTATATCATTGTCATTAAGCCAGACCATTTCTGCATGTGATTATTTAACTCACTGCTATGACTACTATGCAGACAGCAAGCCTTTGATGTTATAAAAAGTATAACCATAATTTGAGACATCTTAGAAATATAACTACATGTATGTCATCTATTTTAAACTCCATTGCAACGTACCCTTGCATGGGATCATCCTCCTCATGTGGAGCAATAGAGGATCAGTTGTCTCTTTTATAACTAGTTTGTTGTGCCCTTCTGTGTGCAGATATGTGTATAGTTATAAAATGCAAGCCTCACAATGTAAATCTCCGCCCAGGGGTGTATTCTCCTCTGTGACCTTTCCTTCTGTTGACACCTTCGTCTTTGTTCCCAAGGTGTTGGGATTTGTTGGGTGAGACATGTTCCTTGTGGTTCCTGCATCAATTATGCATAAATAATAATAACCTCGGACAACTGCTGATTTGCAATGACACTTTCATTACAAAGGCAGCAGCCTATAACTCAGGGGTACCTATTAGTTATTAATGCCTAGCCACGCCAGCTTTACTTTGTCATTTATTGCTTCATCTCTATGCCTTTTTAAATATTCAGTAACTGCTGTACCTACATTTACTGTCTGTGATCTCCGCCTTGGAGAAGGCTATAGCTTGTGGTGGAAGATGACCTAGTTATTATGGAGGCCTAGGCCTTGCTTGCCAATGTCATTGTACTCTATCATATGATAAGTCACATTTTGCTAAAGCAAGTCACACGTCTTTTCTGATGTTTTGTCACATAAGAACAATGCAACCCATAATACAAAACTCACTATTTTGTTAAAAAGAAATACACATTCACATTACAGTGACTCTAAAAGTCCGGGGGTAAGTCTGTCTGTGAAGTGTTAAGACATGGAAGTCCTGGCAGTCCTTCTTCACTACAAATATGCTCTAATTTGCATAATCAATTAATTGTTTAGAAAATTCACCAGTATATATGGTGTGCATTTAAAGGAATGTAATGTCTGTCTGGGCCTTTTATAGCCTCCCTAAACTCCCTATCACAGTGTTTTGTGTCAGTCTTTTTCACTGACACTCAAAATGTCCTCTCTGATGTAAAGGTCAAAGATAACACATTAATGTGGGTTATCACCAGGATGTTTACAATCCAGCATTGGACATGTGAAATGGGACTGCTCGGCTTCATAATAGCTGGTCCCTCCATCTTCACACGATGTCCTCTTGAAATGTATAGTTTTGGCATTTGACAATGCAACATTGAGTAATTTATTCTTTTCAAAACACTCAGATGGTACAGTACACTTGGACAAATGGAACTACACAGAAAAAAACGAAAGTAGTTTGAAGGTTGTAGCTCTAAATGCATATCTATGTATATGCTAAGTTTAATTTGATCCAAGGTCCTGTATCGGATTGATTTTACAAAAGCTTGGTGGATTTTTTCTGAAACAAATGATACCTTTGATCGATGATGTGTCATGTTATTCTCTTGGATGTTGTTTTATTTCACATTTTTAACACAGAAAATAGGGGGAAATTATCTTTTAAAAGAGTATTTTTGACATTAGAAACAAAGTAACTAGTAAAGTAAATTGATAATATCTTCTCATCCATGTTGGCTTAAAAGTTAAGACTGAAATGAATATAATAAAATATATCTTTCTATGACTACAAACTCCAATTCATTGGAAAATGGCTCAGTGAGACGTACAGTATCAGTAGATTAGCTGCACTTGAGTCACTCCGACATGCCACACTGTGGAATAAGAATTACATGCACTCAAACCAATGTAACATTATCTATATCTAAATGAACGTGTCTGTTGATTCAACTGTGGCTCATTTACTAAAGCTCGCTCTGTATTGTTGGTTTAAAAAGTGGACCACCAAACCCACAAAGTGGACTTTATTTATGAAAGACTTTTGCTTGAGACTAATATAGCCTGTCTGCTGGAGCTGTGGGAACACAGGCCAGACTCCATACACCTGTGCACAAGGAAGTGCAGCTGCATGGGTCAATATCGAGGGGGTCAGTCTAATGTTTGTTCTGCAAAAGCACATTCATCAAATCGGCATTTTGTTTTGTTTGGGAAATGAATACGTGAAACACCAAAAACTGCTTTTGATTCGATTACATTTAATAACGGGTTAATTAATAAGAGCAGACTGGTTCAATTGATTTAAACAAACACAAACTAAAGTAATGGGTAAATATTAACATAAATGCAAATATTATTTTAATATGTAGTTTTCCCCTGTATTACATTTAATATTGTAACACTATTTCGGTTTAAGAATAATGCTTTCCAATTGAAGTCACGTGTAATCTGGTATATTTGAACGTTGTATTTTAACATCATCTGTAACTGAAACCTTACATATCAACCTTATTAACATTAACATCTTCAGTGGCCCTAATCAAAGATAAATTACATCTGAAATCGGTCTTCACCAGGAAGCATTAGAGGTACTGTGATTACTGAGACGGGCAGATACAAATATTTACCAAATGTATTTCGATCATCATATTAAAATAATAACTAAAAGAAACAACTGAACTTTTCAGTGTCCCTTCAATTCTGAAAATTATTATTTAAATATGTTTATAAGGTTTACACCATCGTAATTATTAGACAAAATAAAAATAAAAGATTTAATGGAATGTATGGGAAGATCTATCCTTCATCTTTTCAGGTTGATGTGTCTTCTTAAGTATTTCTCAGATTTTTGATACCCCTAATGAAAAGCCCTGCGTGTCAGTGAACGCCCCCTGGCGGCTGTCCTCTCCTCGCGGGGCTGGAGGTGTCAGCCTGCGGCCTCACGGTGCTCCCGGTGCAGCATCATGCAAAGAGACATCACACTGCAGTTTACCGCGGGCTCTCTAACGCATGAGAGCATGAGAGCTTAGTGGAGGCTGAACCCGTTACTTCACACAGGAAGCAAATAAAACAGAGACAGCATTTAAATGACAATTATAAACGTGATAATCAAGTTTTATTTTTTATTTACTTTGGTACATTTTTGAGGGGAATCTTTTTTTCAAATACTTCCCAAAAAAGACCAAATTCCACATTGCTTTCTATACACCTTTTAATCTGAATTATATTCTGCACACTGAGACCCCTGGTGCCTGGACGTCATGTTCATGTCTCCTTAAACTGTAGGAGTGTTGATATTTAATACCTCCTTGATTTAAAATTGGGGAAAACATGGTAATGGCTAAAATAATTTTTACATCTGTATTTCGTTTTATTTATGTGTCAAACGAGTTTGGTTTTGCATTAAAAACGAATTATGTCATACAATAAATACTTCAGGCTACATAACTGCTTCTGTTGATAATAGAATGAGGGCAATAATAATAGCCCAGTAATAATGAGAATGAATGAAAGAAATGCCATGGTGACATTGGAGCAGCCTTTTGCATCATCAGCACCTTCTTCGGTGTCTGAAAGTGAATTGAAGCAGAGAGGCTCCTTTCTCTTTCTCATGGGGATCAGATAAATATAGCGCCTGTAACCCCCCCTCAAACACACACGTAACCACACGCAGCAACCCGATCACCATTTGCTGTTTGTGTAAAAGTGATTAGCCAGACACAACTGCGAAGCTGTTACCTTTATAGAAGCCAAGCCGTAGAATATCCTGTAAAACGACACTAGCAGTGATGTAATGGTGGATTAAAGCCTGACCTCCAGTCAGAGATCATTACTAAGAAAACAACCGTAAATATATATATTTAAAACAATTAAGTTGTCTTATTGTTCGGGCCTATAAGTGTATATATTTTATTTAAAAATATGATGTTATATTAAATACGTAACCCCTCTGCAAAAAGCCTGTCTTGAGAGACACACACTTAGGTTTGAATTCGAACTAAGTCACAGGATGTTTAACGACTTCCCATTGATATGATGATCCCCTCTTTTAACATCAATTTCAAATGTTGAATCCATATAGACAGACTATACATCTGAGTCCTTTTTGTTCCTTTAATTTTTTCTTTGTTTGTTTGTCTAAAAATAATTTGTAGATCTTATAATAAAGCTGCAATTCCAAGCTTAGAAAACATTGAATAGGCCTACTGAAAAGGTTCAAACATAATTCAATGTCTCGTGTTACTCCAGACAATTATTTAGAATAGTATAATTACTAAAAATATTAAGGTCTCCCTTGAAAAATAGATCTATGATCTCAATGGGACCATCTGGTTAAATGAAGGTTTGAAATTAAATCAAATTAAAATGTAACTTTACAAAAACAGACTTTAAACATCGTTAAAATTGGATGATATTAATAGGCTGATTATTAAGCCTGAAATTGATTTGTATTAGTACATGTAATCTCACAATCGCACTGGATAAGAATATTTGAAAATAACTATCCTTCATGTCAAATTAAAATTGACTTTCATATTATTTTACAGTGCC